AAGTCGATAAAACCTCACCAGCTACAGGGGGTCATATAAGGTGCCCCCATTTTCAGTTTTTATTAATCAAAAGTCTATTACATTTACCTTTATAAATACCGTGAGGATTGTTTTTTAATACGGATGTCCTTTCAATGTTTTTATGTGGCCATACAATGTTTTTTGACAACTTTTTATTAAACTGATGATGGAATGATTCAATTCCGAAAAGATCTTCTTAAAAATAAAAATTTTAAGCTTTTAATAAGCATTTTTTATACCATAATACACACGAACACCACGTGCTTTGTATTCAACAGGTATACTAGCCACTCCTAGATATTTCCACTTCATGGTTTGTTCCAGTTTCACCTTTAACCTATCATTCTATTCAGCTAAGGCCCTGCTGACTCACCTTCAGCGGTTACCATGCGTTGGCATCTCAGGAGCCATGAGGCTTTGCTGGATTAACCTTCTCTACATCTTGTAGAGTACAAAGCTATGATAGCAGTCTATAATCTTAACTGCTCTGAATACTGGTAGGAAATTAATGGTCGAATGGGCCATTGTGACACCTAGAGACAAACCTTTGACTGTGGTCCTGTGCTCTTTATGGTAGAGGACTGCCAGGCACCCCAATTTGGCTTCTCATCCTCCTTCTTAGTTCAATTTTCTGACCGTGATGAAATGAAATGAGAGCCTGTACGGATCCGTCAAAGCGGGCTCACCTCGTTCAAGGATGGGTCGGAATAGATGGGCAGGCAGACGGGTAGGTATATGAAAGCAAAATCGGCATTGAAACTGGCCGGACTATCGGCTCCCATGCATGTCTTTCAGGCCGAGATATTTACAATCTTGGTATGTGATCAGGAGATAATAGATAGGACTTGCTAGTCAAGCAGCGCTTAGGGTTTTGCCTAATAATATACTGTTTAATAAATGCGCATTAAAAAATACCTAAATACCCTAAATACCTTTCTGCTACACAATGTGAGTCATTTTGAATATTTAACACATCAAAATTATTTTTGTAGGAAATTGCTGATTTAATTCATGTATCTCATCTTGTAACTACGGGCTTTGGATGCAAGCTTACACCTGGTAATTTGTCTTTATATATTTGCACACTTAAGGTGCTTTCAAAAATATTTCTTTAATGATTGAAAATAATTTATAGAGTAAAGTAAATTTACTTCTAAGAACTTCTTCGTCTCTGTTTATGCCATGTAAAAGACAAGTGACGTGTACTATATTTGGACAAAACAATTTTTAAATTTTGTCCTACCTTTACCAAATGTATACGGAGCGGCATCTAATAAAATTTAAAAAAAAAATTCACTTTTTATTTCCTTTGGCAAAAAAAAGCAGAGAGTACCCACCAACTAAATGTTAATCTTCTTATTTGCGTGCTATATCACGAAATTTGTGATAATCACCATTGCGAAGGCTTCTCGATCTTCTGCAATATGGAATACTTGTCCTGCATTTGATATCCGAGTCCATTCACGAATGTTTTTAACCAAGAAACTTGTTTTCTTTCTACACCTCTATGGCCCTCTATTATGCCTTTAAGGATCAGTTGTAATATTTTATATCGACTTCCCCTTACTATAAAACAGAAGCAATCTATACTTTGCTTTAAACCATCAGCTAAAAAATCAAGATTTTTGGAACAGGGTAATATTTACAGATAAGAAAATTTTCGAAAAAAATATCGAGCAACAGGTCATTTTAGCGTCAATATATGGGGATGGATTTCATCTAGACTAGAGGAATGGGAGTGGTATGACATATTGATGGTAGGTTTTGTTGGGCAGACTTATCTGAATATTCTAAAAATCATTATGTTTCCCAGTGTAGAACAGTTGTATCCAGAAAATAATTTTAGCCTTCAACAAGATAATTGTCCTCTAAACACTGCAAATATAATAAACCACTGGCTCCACAATATCAAGGTCAAACCCTTACCATGGACCAGCTACAGTCCAGATTTAAACTCAATCGAGAATGTGTGGGGGGGGGGGGGGTTATTATAAAACAGTTGTATTGCATGCCACAGCTCTTCAGCATTTTGAGGTATAAAATTACGCCAATACAACAGGTTTGGGAAGAGCTCCATGAAGAAGATAATTTCATAGTTCCTTTTAGGCAGATGAACTGAAGACTAAAAGCTGCTATTAATGCTGATGGAGATATTACAAAATATTAATTTTATTTTTACATACCTAAATTTAGGAAAGTTTTGGTATTCGACACCCTCGCTTTCTTTTGAAAGTTTTTTGTCATCATGTTCTATTTCTAGTAACACCTCACACGTTGTTGTACATTATATCCTTTTCAGCGTCACCTTTTGCATTGTTTAGAGGGAAATAGAGAGAGAGAAGGAGAGAGAGAGAGGAAGCGATATACTGAAGAAGTGTCTTTTTACGATGACAGGTGGTAGATGGTTTGGGCATAGTTATAGGATGCAGCCGACAGGTGGTGCGATGAGATTATGAACTGTAATGGACGTGGAATTCCCTTCAAAATATGTCCAATAGCAACAAAGATATGATTTAGAGCCGTTTTCTCAATGTTGTCATGTTTGTTTGTCTGTTAGCCTCAGTGACTACTGTCTTTTTCTTTAACGTCTATTATACCAAAATTCGATCAATAGCAACAAAGATCCAATATAATTCCGTTTTGACAATGTCTTTGTCTTTTGTTTTTTTGTGTTAACGTATTTCCCTTTCCCTTTACAATGAGCCTTCGTACGTCATGATTGGATCAATAGCGACGAAGATATGACGTAATGCCGTTTTGAAAATGTCTTTGTCTTTGTTTTTTTGTCTTAACATATTTCCCGTCACCTCCCCTTTCATTTAACGCGGTACCCGTAGTAATCTGACTAATAACAACAGAGATACGACATAGCGTCACCTTCTCTTTCCATCGATATCTTTCACGTTGTTGTACGTTGAGCTGTTTAAATGTTACAAGCTTAGTGCCATATTGGTAATGTCTTTTGCGTTTTGTTTTTATATAAAATTATTCCTTACCACCTCCCCTTTTCATCGATACCTCACACGTTGTTGGACGTTGAGCCGTTTGGACGTTGCAAACTTAGTGTCCTTTTGGCATTGTCTTTTGCGTTTGTTTTTTGTCTTAACGTATGTCCCGTCTCCTCCCCGTTCCAACGAGCCCTCGTACGTCATAATCGGACCAATAACGACAGAGATACGATATAGCGCCCTTTTGGTACAGTCTTTGCGTTTGATTTTTATCTCAACGTGTTCCCCGTCGCCCTCCGCTTATCAACGATACCACACACGTCACGATCCGACGAGCCGTCGCGCATCCACCAAAAAAAGCGTCAAAAATGACCAGAATGAACCTTAAGCGATTTAAAAAAAAATTTTTGTTTAAAATCCTTTATAAAAGGTATATAAAAATGCCTCAAACGGGCTATCACAAACACATTGCAAAACGTTTTCGGATTAGACAATCCATCATCAGTGCAAACGATTGTACATGCTAGTAGCCACCAAAATATATGGGTAGAAACCCTTTAAATGTTATAAATTTGAAGTTGTTTTACATTATTAGTATTTCTAATTTGTGATGGTTAAGTTACCGTTGGATAGGTAACATGGCGGCGTATGACTCTACATGAGCAAATTGGTCCTGAGACGAAGTGTCTACGAGGACCTGTTGATCAACAGGTCCTCGTAGACACTTAAATTTTTTTGTGATATATGGTATACAGCCAGCTACAGGAATTTAGTTTCCTCGTGGAACTTTAGCGATTTCTTATCGGATTTAACATGGGAAAATACGCCGAACCCGTGTTGCCCCTTTACTTCCCTCCATTTGTATTAATAGAAAAACTGTGGTTCTGCTTATGTTAAAATGTTTTGCTGCCTCTGATAGTGCCCAGTTATCTTTTAATTTGGTTACAATTCTTGCTTTAGTTGAGTTTGAGTCGTTTGTTTTATTCCTTAATAATAAAACCGTAAAATAGTTTCGAAACACAATTCAGATTTCTGCTTTAATCTGTGCTTTCTAAAAATTGCATTGCAAAACAGACGTTGATGAAGGTGTTAAAACGTGTCTTTCACGTTGAGAACACCTTTAAATAATTTTTCTGATGAGACCTATTAGGTCGAAATACGTATCAACAGATACAAAGGCACTGTTTGCGTGAAATCAAATATTTGCTGTCTTTTTCATTTTATTTGGATCTACTCTGTACAAGTACAAGAAACCAATTCGCTAAGGCTTTCTGCTTAGTTGAAAAGACATGTCGTGGAATGCAAATTTTAGATTCCCCATGTCTCTTTTAACACCTTCATCAATGTCTATTTTGCTTTGCAATTTTTAGAAAGCACAGATAAAAGCGAAAATCTGAATTGTGTTTCGAAACTATTTTACGGTTTTATTATCAGATGTCGCTATTGCGTCCATATCGAAGCCATTTTAGTGTTGCTTCTTAAAAGACAGAAAATATTGATCTTTCACGGTGAGAACACTTTTGAATAACTGTTCTGATGAGACCTATTAGGTCGAAATACGTATCAACAGATACAAAGGCGCTGTTTGCGTGAAATCAAATATTTGCTGTCTTTTTCATCCTCAATAATAATGAAAATAATAGCAACAACCTTATTTTAGAGAGACGTATCAGTTTTTTTAGGAACCACCTGTACATAAGAGTGTGTTTTTGGTGTTTGTTATTTTCCGTGTTTTTTAATATGTCTCATAAACTATGTTCTTGTAGAATTTTTAGGCTATGTGCTATTTTTAATTAACGGGAAATAACCACAATTTTAATTGAATGTATGTTTATTTTGATGTTTTGTGATTTTTTTGTACTTTTGAAAATTGTTGCTGAAGTGGAAATTAAAACATCAAAATAAACGTACTTTATATTAAAATTTTAGTTAAATTACATTAAAAATATAGACGACACTGATTCTTTTTATAAAGCACAAATTTAAGTTGATTATTTAAAACTTATTTTCAATTCATTTTTAAATGACGGTTGAAGTTAGCGTACAAATAATTACCTTTATTGTAATGTTCTGCAGAAAGCTGCTAAATTTTCTGAACTTTAGCTTTGGTTTACACACTTGTTATCTTATAAAGTGACATTTCCTTTATGTCACATAAAATTTACAAAATATCTACCAACAATAGTATAGCAGTGTATGTTAGCGGATCGATTGTTCGACTGCGTGTTCTTCCTCCTTTCTGTCTACCACACCACACAGAGTCAGAAGGCAGTACAGCCGCGTCGAACACAGAAACAAGCCGGCAGTTTGTGTTATGGTGTCCCGCAGTTCACAGTTGCTAGTCGCGCGTTTCAACAAGTGACATGGTCCTGGTACGGCGGGCCGGTGTCGGGGGCTCATGCCTCGTGTGCGTCCTCATGACCTGCTCAACTTTACTCCTTGTAGACGGAGCTGTTATCCTGCCGAACACTTCGGGAATTGATGGACAGCTAACGGCGAATCACAAAGTTGATCACTTCTTTTCGCTCTGGTTGGTGTTTAGTAACGACGATGTTAAAATATCAGGTTAGTACAATTTGTTGTTTTATATTCGTTATATATTATTATTTGTGGTTCTAAATACAAGTTATAAACTATCATTTATCGCAAGACTTGTTTTGTTTGTTGTATATTTCATACTCGCCTGAACAATGTATGGAGATAATTAAAATAGTTAAAACAATACCACTATTATTATCTTAGGTCAGAAAATGTAGATTTTTGTATGTTTTGTCTAATATTTTGTATAATCTGAGAAAAATAATTATTTCTACAATTATGCACATTATACTCATATCTAAAATTTGGTGATCAATTTCGTCTTTTTCTGTTCTACTGCCACACTTAACAAATTCTAACTTTTTGCGTGTACTAAAAGAAGGATTCTGACTTGAAAAATATTGAAAAATATCTTATACAGTATAGCCCAAAATAAACACTACAGAACTTGTAATTATTTTATTGTTTTAAAAAATACATATTATTAAACTTTATAATATGTTCTAAATGAGCCTCCCCTCTCTCAAGACAGACTTCATACCGATATTTTAGATTTCTCGTAATGTTACGGAATAAAGGTTGTTTCAAGTCGGCGAAGAAGGCTCTAACGGCATCTTGTAACTCACTAATAGTTTGTGGTGCCCGTTTAAAAACGGCAATTTTAGCCATGCAACAAGTTATGAGTCTGGAGATGTTAAGTCTGGAGAATGTGCAGGATAGGGGAAGTCAGTAAATCGTGAAATGAATTTGTTTGGAAAATGTCCCTGAAGAAATAGACGAACTGCAACAGCAGTATGGCACGTTGCCCCATCCTGTAGGAAAAATTGGTCTCGAAATGCCAAATTATGTGCACGACAAAATTGACGTAGATCAGGCATAAAGCGTGTTAAAATTTATATGTACATTTTTGATGATTAAGTGTGGCCTGCCTACCATTTTCTTCGATAAAGTATGGACCAATGATTCCGTGTCCCGAAACTGCATACCAGACACTCACTTTTGCGCAATGTAAAGGAACTTCTGGAAAAGCCCATAAATCAAATTGAGCGACGATTTTGCATGGCCTGACAAACAAAAATGCCTTTATGATCGATACTTTTAGCGTCCACACTTCTACACTATACAAAAGTACAGATCAAACATAGCACTTAACCATTCTTTGCCTTAGTTCTAAACTAAGATGGTTATTGCAAAGAAAAGACTTCATTTTCATAAAAGTAGTTTTAATCATTGCTATTCTACGTTTTATTTCTATGTCTGGATTTAGTTGGTCCGTTATCACAGTTCCCAAATATGTCATTTTGTGAACTTTCTCAACTTGGACTCCGTTCAATTAAAGCTTTGCATCGGGATGTGGGTCACGACTAAATACTAAAAATTTGGTTTTGTTTGCGTTTATTTTAATGCTCATTTTCTCTCCTACCTCGTTAATACGATCAAGCAAATTTAAGGATCTTCAATATTATCTGATAGAATTACTGCATCGTCTGCATATCTAATCACATTAAGTAGTTCCCAGTTGATTTTTATTCCATATGCTTGTCTCTCAAGTGTCTTTTTAAATAACTGGTCCGAGTAAACATTGAACAATGTTGGCGACAAAATACAACCTTGTCTGACTCCTCGTTGGATGGGAATTTTATCGGTGTAGTTATCTCCAATTTTTATATAGTAGTTTGAGTTCAGTACAATTTTTAATGACACGAATATCCTTGTCATCTATTCCGATATTTTTCAGTATTTGCATTAATTTTACATGCTGTACTTTATCGAATGCCTTTTCGAAGTCCATGAAACATGCAAATACATCTTTTATTTTTTCACGGCATTTTTATAATAGGAGGCACTTTTTCACATAGCATTTCCCACAACCAAATTGGTTATCTTCAAGATCTTCTTCGCAATTGCGAAGACACAATATTTACAATACTTACACTGATACAATATTTTAAAGCTAGTTTTTTTTTTAAATTTTGACGTTGATTAAAAAGCAATGCACGATTTGTATATACTTCAATTATAACGACATAAACATGACACTAACATGGGATGTAATTTTCGCAATAATGTGGGATTAAAAGTAATCTGATATTAAAATAATCTCTGAGTAACCTTATAGTCATATAAGTTCTATAATGTAAACTGACGTCCAGAATATAAACTAAAACTCAACAGTCCTTATAGGATACAAATCAACATTACAGTTGCACTCATGTATCTTGTTAAAGGAAACTAGATCCACTGTTTGTGTTCTAGGATGACATATCGAGAATGAATAATTAACCACATCCTTCTCCATGTCATAAATAATATATACATTGGAAATATGATTATAATTTAAATAGACATTGGACGTCTGTGATGCAATCTACCTATTAATTATAAATTATTTTAGAAGCAAAAATTGTTTTGTGTATTTACACAGAGTGACCCAAAAGTCTGGAAACGACCAATTATCTCGTAAATTGCTAGTAATAATTTTACAAGATTTGAGGTACTCTATTTTATGTTATATTTGATTTTGGCAATGCTGCCAGATTTGCCGTTTATCTTATATTATTAGTAACTTTGGTTTTTTAAATTCATCACCCCATATATTTAGTTATTATTGTAATTTCCTATTCAATGAAAATTGAACCATATGTAACACTTATGATTTTATTTAGTCAGCAAGGTCTTAAATATATAAAACAGTGCAAAATATGTAGATTTTGACATTTGCTCAACATTAATATTTATAACTAAAACTGATAATAGACGTGTTTCGAAAAGTTCTGCAAGATAAATTGCTTCTCTAAAATGACTCTTAACGAAAAAGAACGAATTACTATTCTAATAATGAGAAGGTACGGTCACAAAAAAGATCTTATTGTGAAGTAGCCAACTTGTTCCATGATACTTTCCCAAACCGTTTTCCTATTCATAAGGCGACGGTGGAAAAAACTGTAAAGTGATTTGAGGAATCTCGAGAACTAAAAGATAGATACCGATAAGGTAAAACAAAAAGAGTTATAAATGACAACAAAACTTTAGATACAATGCAAAGTTTAGTTAAAGATCCACATACATTATTACGCAGGGTTGCACAAGTACATGATGTAGATCGTTCTTCAGTCTTACGTGTATTACAGAAGAATAAATTTAAACCATACAAAATTAAATTATTGCAAGAATTAAGTAAAGATACCTAACTTCGATCGTAGATTAGAGTTTACTGGGGAAATGATGGATAAAATTGAAAATTAGAAAAATTTCGTTAACAGAATAGGTTTTTGCGATGAAGCAACTTTTACACTATATGGAAGTCTAAATCCACACTGAATGCGTGAAAACCATACTCAAAGACCACAAAAATTAAATGTATGGTCAGGTATAGTAGGTACTCAGTTAAGTAATTGGGTCATTTTTTATCGAAGGAAATTTAACTTCAGATAGTTACGAAATGTTACTTAAAAATAAAATTTAACCTACACTGAGAAACTTGTTTGGGGCCAATTTTAATCAGATAAGATGGAGCTCCAGCTTATTTCGATGTAAATGTTCGGCGTTATTTAGATGACCATGGATTGGTGGACGAGGTAGAATTGAATGGCCTACACGTTCACTTGATTTCAATCCTAAAGATTATGTGTATGTGTGATACTTGAAAAAATCAGTTTACAAAAGTAAACCAGCAAGTCTTGTAGAGCTAAGGCAACGAATTATTGATGAATCTCGAATAATGTCTAGACAATCATGAAGAAATATGGTAGGCGCATTCTACAATCGATTAGCGTACTGTCAACTCACAAATGGAGCACATTTTGAACACTTGATAAACAACCATTATGTTAAAAAAAGTGGTAATCTATCAATTGTTACGTTTTAATGTAGTTGAAAATAGTTAGTACAAAAAAATTAATTGAGACAATTAGACGCTGCCAGATTTCTGTTTTATGTATTTAAGACCTTTCAGACTACATAAAATCATAGGTGTTACAATATGTAAAATCAAAGTTACTAATAATATAAGAGAAACGGCAAATCTGGCAACATTGCAAATATCAAATATGGAATCTCTGTATCCCAAAATAGGTGTACCTCAAAGTTTATACAATCATGACTAGCAATTTGCGAGATAATTTGCCGTTCCAGACTTTTGGGCCACTCTGTAGATGATTATAAATTAAAGAAATTTACAATAGGATATAAAAATAAAAACAATATATGGGTACCAACCACTAAACAGATTCCAGATAGAATTTATAAACGCAACCTTATTTAAACTGAATAGCAATGATAATGTAGCAAAAGAATATAACTTAATAGGCAACTTACTAAATAAAACGTTATACAAATAAGCGATAAGTTATACCTATCCTAGTATACAAGATAAAAATAATGGCACAACTTTACACTTTAAACAACAGTAAAGTTGCAAACTTCTTGAAGGAAAAAAGAGAAATACTGAAAACGAAGGGCCTTCTAACATTAAACATAGGGTTTTTTGATACAAGTTGATTTCAAGTAAAGGTTGGCAAGTAAGATATGATACTTAACATTATGCTTTGTATACCTATCGTATTTTCTTTATCTAGCCAATGACTTTCGTAGTTAAAGCCGTTTTTTTTGCAAAAATTTCTCTGTAGCTTAGAACGTTGAATCTAATAAATGAAAGTAATTTTTTAAATTATTCTTAATTATTGAATTTTTGAATGACGAAATTGAATTATTTTAAATAAATGGACCAGCATCGAAAGGGTCATTTTCAAACTATAATTTATTTTTATGAACGAGAGAGTAATTAGCATAATTTTAACTGGTACCTCCGACCACTCCATGGGCGTGCTCAAGATTAATTGAAAAATTACTTTGAATAATTGTAAAAAATAAATGAATTATTTCAGTGTTATAAAGTGTTATGTGTATTTAAACAAAAGTGACCTCTTTTATCACACACTATATTAGAACTGACTGGCCTACATTAAAAAGGGTTTTAAAAAATTCACATTTTTTTTAATTTTTAAAAATTACAAAAGAGAAAAAGA